GGAGCGCATTGCTGCCTTTCTACAAGGAGGAGTAATTCAAAGCCTAAGCTTATTACAGTAAGGAACTATAAGGATATGGATAATGAAAAATTCCAGAGGTCCTTAGAGGAAGCTCCATGGCATATTGTGTCTGCTGTAGAGGATGTTGAGGACAGTGTTTACTTATGGGAAACCATGTTTAAAGACATTATAGAGTCCAACATCAAACGAAGGAATGTGAAGGTCAGACACAAGTCACTTCCCTGGATCAATACCGAAATCAGAAAGGCTATGAATCAAAGGTATAAGTGTTTAAAAGCTGCTCAAGGTAAACCCCATGATAATCCTCAGTGGGACATCTATAGAGCTAAAAGAAACGCTGTTAGAAGTATGCTCAGAAAAGCTGAGGCCTCTTACTGGATTGGGCTATTTAAAGAATCTTCTTCACCTAAAGATTTCTGGAGAATATCTAATCGTATACTTGGTAAGATCAAAAGTGATAAAATTGGTCCCCTACAAGAATTGGGATATAGTTAGAGACGTTTTGAAGTCTATTAACCCAAACAAAGCAGTAGGCCCTGATAATATTTTTCCTAAAGATCTTAAATTGGCACAGGACTCTGCTATTCAGGGTCTGCTAGAGGTGTTCAAAAAAAGCATGGACTGTTGTAAGTTCCCTCAACAATGGAAGGAGTCATTAGTTACACCTGTTTTTAAGAAAGGGAACAGGCTGGATCCTAACAATTATCGACCTATATCCTTGCTTAGTACACCAGGAAAGCTTCTTGAGAAGGTAGTGTGTGACTCACTTGATGATCACATGTTATCCAATGGCATTCTCACAGATAGACAATGGGGATTTAGGAGGGGCTATTCAACGGAGAGCCTCCTCCTTCATCTCACTGAGTCCTGGGGGAGTGCCCTGGATAGAGGCCATAAGGTTGGAGTCTTATTCATTGATTTCCGCAAAGCTTTTGATTGTGTCAACCACAGTATTCTTACTGAGAAACTCAAGGCTGTTGGCTTGGCAGGTGATATGTGGAAATGGATCAATGACTATCTCTCCAACCGTGTACAAGGGACTAGTGTAAGTGGGTTTAGATCTGATAGAATCCCCATTAGAGCTGGGGTCCCTCAGGGATCCTTACTAGGACCAAGATTGTTTGCATCTTATGTTAATGACCTCCCTGAATCTATTACCAGTGGAGAAGTCTATATGTATGCTGATGACACAACAATATATGTAGTAGGGAATACTGTTGATGAAATAACAACAGGGTTACAGGCTGTTTTGGACCAGGTTAATTCCTGGTGTCTTAGTAACAGATTGATTCTACATGAAGGTAAATCCGAGGCAATGGTCTTAAGTACTACCCCCTTCATAGGTCCTTTGAAACAGCTGAAGTGGGGTATGGACACCATTCGGTATGTGTCCTCCACCAATTGCCTTGGGGTTACAATTGATGATAAACTCTCTTGGTCTCAGCATGTTGCATTGGCTAGATCTGCATTTAATGCCAAAGTTAAAATGTTGAGACGTATAAATTTCCTAAGTACATCTATCTTGGAGACTTTTTACTATAGGATAGTTATACCAAGTGTTCTATATGGAATTGCAATTTGGGGGTCTGGATCCAAGCTTAAAGATCTAGAAATGATTCACATCAGGGCTGCCAGGCTAATTCATAAGATACCAAATAGTTTTGGGGATAATGATGTACTTTCTAAGGTTGGCTGGATGCCTTTAGAGTATTTTTATAAGCTACGTATCTTAACTATTACATATAATGCTTATTATAATTTAGGGTTGCGGGAAATTAATTGTTTGGTGACCAAGAACTCTAACAGTTATAACCTAAGGAAATCCCTGAATGTTGTACTTAATAGGCCCAAAACCGAATTGGGTCGTAGGTCCTTTGCTCATAGATCTGCAGTAGCATGGAATGCACTTCCCGATAATGTTAAAGATTCTCCAAATTTATCTATTTTTAAATATAACTTAAAACAATCCAAGCAAACTGTTATGAATATTAATTTTGAAAAGGGAGGTAATGTTATACAAAACATGAAACCAAATTTTCACTATTACTAAAACTTTATGGTCTACTTGATTTATTCAACTTATAAATTTTATCATATCTGTATTTTATATAATTATAGACTAATTAGTTTAGGCAGGTCCACATCAGCTGTAAAGTTGCGCAAATTTTAACCTGCATTATCAAATAAAGTTATGTATGTATGTATGTATGTATGTTTTACTCCCCTTAACTATACAACAGATGCACGTGAAGTCATAGACTGGCTTTTATTTTGTATTAGTAAACTCCAAGGAACAAGCGGAACGCAAACATCGTCATGTTGATATTTTAGGGAAGGAGAAGGTGGTGACGACGAGGAGCTGCCGGAGGAAGAGTCTGCAGCTTTTAGTGAGTGAAATATTTTCATCTGGTACAAATTCAACATAGCAACCTTGATTTTTGAATGCATATCCACAAGAATGATCAAAGTTAACTCTATTTTTCGCAGTAGATCAGTATGTTCGTGTTGAACGTGATAATTTTACTCCATTTGTATGATAGTTTTGTTTGAATGTGTAGTTGTTGACCCACCCCCCCCCCCCCCCACGTTTCCCTCAGCTTCTGCTGCTCCCAGTTCTGCTTCCCCTGTAGTTAGTAGCTTTAGACGTTTCAAAGAGCATTAGGCTAATTTTTCAGATGATGAAGCTGTTAACAGGCCTGTAAATTATTCTTTTCATGATTTCCCAATGACATTGTGAGACAGTTTTTGAGAATTGTGAGTCACCTGTGAATACCAAAGTGAAACCAGCCCCCTGTTCCTCTTCCTAACCAACCTCCTCCCCAAGTTGGTGGAGTTTAGGAGTATTTAAGTTTTCCAGTTTTCTCTGGGAAATAGATATGCTTGGTGGTATGTCTACAGAAAGGCAGGGAATCTTTAAGAGTTAAGTCTTACCATAGTGTCAGAAGTACATTCATGCAAATGATGATTCCAATTGCTGCACAGTGTGTCATACTAAGGAGTGTTGTTATGATAGTTAAATATTTATCATACTATTTTACCCACTGCTTGGTTTTAACTATAGGCAGTGGTTTAAGATTTTTTGTTTCCTTAAAGAAAAATACCAAAGAAGAATAAAAAATGAGAAAAAAACAAATTGAAAATGTGAAGAAAGGAAATACAGAATACCATAGTTGCCACTTTATAGCATTTATCTTTGTTAGCCATGAGGTATGATAGTTGTGTTTTAATTCTTAATTTGTCGGACGGGCCTCCCATTAAATTGTAGGGATAGTGAAAGGCAAAATTATTCACTTGGTAAAACTTCAAGTACTGTCCCTGAGCTGAAACACCCCTTATTTTTGTCCAAAAATACTCTTTCACTGTTGATATTAGTTACTGACAAGGGCATACTTAAAACATAGGCATGCTATGCATGCAAGAGTATTTTTTTTTTTTTGATGGGTGGGTCAAAATGGGAAACTAAGCAACTGATTTTTGCATTTTTGTAAAAGAAAAAGAGTATTTACCTATGAAAGATTCTGATGAAGATATTGTTAAATGGAGAGCAAAGTTAGCAAAAATGAACATGAGAAAAGTATCATATTTCAAAGCATAACAACATGGGCTCTTTATTTGGTAATTGCCTATCTGTACTTTGCCCCATTTGTGTGGAATACATGATAAGATGCAGGCTGTCTAGAAGGAATTGACATGTGATGGGATGAAGTCCTAGGCAGCTAAAAGTGAATTTGATTGGTAAATCATATCTTAGCACATGAGAACTGCATGGAAAATTGACTCAAAGTAGCATTTAGTTCCATGTGAAATTTTTTCAGTGGAGTGGGATTATCTTGTAAAATTTAGGTTGTTTACTGGAAAATGGCAATTATCTGAGAAAGTCTAGTTCATAGCAACAAGTTAACATGTAATTGTATCAGGAAAATACCTTTTAAACACAAGATGACTAACAGAAGCATGGAGAACTTTTAAAAGCAAAAAAAAAAACAGATAGTCCACATCACAGTTGACGCAGAAAGTAAATATAACTTTGTGATTTTTTCAGCTTTTGCAAAAAGAGCAATCAAAAGGCAAAAACTAGATTATTGATCAAATCTGCTTTATGCAAATGCTTTGCACAATTTTTACCCCAGTCAGCAAAACACAAGCCCTTCCAAAACAAAAGTTCTAGTGATAATTTCATGAAAGGCCTTGAGCCAATGGCATGTGCATTGTAAGTGAAGGAGTGTTACACAAAACATGTTTTAACTTCTAAATGGTAGAAAAAAATTCCCTGATCACCTTTCTAACCTCCTACAGGTCATAGCAATGAAGTTCTTAGAAGAAATTAACTATTACACTGGGTAGATGAGCTCATAATTCTTTGTTAATGCTATTCTTGGTGTTTATCAATGTTAGTTTGATTCCATTGCAACATATGACAGTACCCTAATTTTATGATGTGATTGGCATGAGGGACAATACTGTGACACTTTGATTGGTGCAAGCATACCTCATTGCTGTGATCTGATTAGTGTGAGATACATACCCTAATGCAGAAGTCAGATTATGCAAGATACATACTCTAATGTGCCCATCCAAGATAAATACCATTTGATATGCCAACATAGGGTCATATATTTAATATTTTTGCTAATAACTCAAAAATCATTAAAAAATTAATCTTTACTCTTTTTCAGGAAATGTGAATTTTCAGGAAATTCTGATCTGTCTGAGTCAGAGCATCTGCTGTATTTATCACTCTTCAGGGGAACAAGCCCCTAAAACTCAGTGCTACGGTTCAGGCTCAGTAAAACACATGCATGCATCATATCTGTTGACATGGTTCAAACAAGAGGTAAAGAAAACTTGTGAATTGTGCCATTTAAGTGATATCAAGAAAAAGGGCAAACCATATATGCTGAGGTAATTGTTATTTCTAAGCCCTTTTCTATTGAGTTGTATTGGTTCAGTTGATCTTCATTTTACCAGGGTCAACATTTTTGTTTTCATTGTCACCTTGTAACCTTTGCCATACCCTCTTTTTGAACTTTTGTCTCTCTCTTCCATGATTCTGTTGGGAAATTGGGCAAAACAAAGGTGTTTGATAGATTAAGGATTTTTCTTTACTGAATGAAGTAGAGGAAGCAAGACAGTGGGCTACAAAGAAAATTGAATTTTTTCAGAACCAAAGTTAAAACCATATCCTTGTACTATTTCCAGATTTTCACATTTCTAGACTACCAACTTAAGATACATCCAACTAAGCTAAAGAATTATTGGTATATTTCCAGAATTCCACATTTCCAGACTACTGAGATAAATGTAAGTTAAAGACTAATTTGTATATTTCTAGATGTACCAAGTTAATATGCTTGTGAGTAAGCTAATTGACATATTACATATTTTTACACATTTTTCTCTAAGGTGATGAATTTGATGTGCAGCACATTCCATTGTGATGACATGTTCTGTGCTCTTCTACCCCAAGTTAAAGCCCAATTTGTTTATATTGAGACAAAGAACTCCTAACAATAATTGCAGATGTGCACATCTTAACCCTTTACTTCCTGGAAGTGATTAACATGTAGCTTCTCCTTGTTGTATCCATAAGGTAATGAGAATACCTTCAAGTTTTTATCTTGATCTAACCTCAAATTCTTGTAATTAATTTACAATGAAATGTATAGCAGCTGAAGGGGAGAAGTAGCAATCAGTCCTTGGAAGTTAATGGGTTATAAGCTTCAGAGAACAGAAAGCATTATGGTTATAAATGTTTTGAATACTAAAGATTAAAATTGTCAGTAGCTGACAGATTCACGTGTTCATGTAAATAGGGTATTGAATATTTGTTAACTTGTGAAAGAAACTTGATTAAAAATAGGGTCAAGCAATTTTTCATTGTGTGTTAACCCTTTAAGCCTTCACTCCCATGAGTGACCAAGACAGAATTTCTCCTTACAATATCAATACAATATCAAGCAGACAAGTGATGGGATTGAAGAAAATATCAGCTAGGGGAGGGGATTATTAGTTGATCCAATACCGAATTCTCCAAACTAAACATGCATATTATGAAAAACTAAACATGATTGTGTATGATGAAAATTTGGACCAGAATTTTCAATATCTGGTTGGGCATTTATTTGAGGTAATAAGCTATTTTCATTTCATTTTTTTAAGATGTTTTATTGCTGGTTTAAGACAGGGTGTGGAATTTTGGTCTAGGTTTAAATTAGGGTTGGAATAATTTTGTATTTCAACCTAAGGTAGGGCAATAGTTGATTTTAAGAAGGGTGCTCTCTCTGCTGAAGAGAAGGCACTACTGGAAAAAGCCTCTATTTTAGCTGATCATGTTTCTCAGATAAATTATTTATAGTTTCGTGTGATATTGAGAAGGCTTTACCAACCCCCCCTTCCCCCACCCCACCCTCATTGCCTTCCTTTGTCCAATTATTTTTTTGTTTCGAAACTTATTGTAAAGCTCTTTACTCTGTCTGATATGTCTAACCATAGGGGCCGAATTGACAGCAACACAAAGAGTAAATCTGCTTACATGATTTATTCAACAATCATCTGATAAACTTAGGAGTTCTGCTTTTATCTACAAATACTAGTCAGTGAAATCTCAACTTTCAGAGTTTTTCATTTTATCATGATAATAGTAACAGGCAAAAAATATGTGCAAAAACACTCCAATATTTAAAGCTACTGCATACACCTTAAAAAAATTGTGTAACGTAATAAATGTCCCACACCACTAACCTACAATAAAGTCTTTTGTCTTTGAAAAGTAATGGGTTTCCTTATTTACAATTTGTTTACAATTTCATCAGCAGACAGTATGAAACTACTCGAACCGGATCGCTTTGATCGAAAAGAAAAACAAACAGAAAAAAAAAACAACCCTAGGAAGCGATCTGTATCGTATTTACTCATCTGATCCGCCTATAATCTCTAAAAGAACTTCAATAAACTAAACAGAAAACTATTTCTTATGACAGACAAAAGTGGTCAAATCATACAGAAGCAAGCAGTAAATTTAAGATCGAAATAAACCAATCATAAAATGATAAAGTTTCCTGAGAGGTCCGAGGTTTGTTTGTTTTCTATGCAGTAAGTTTTGTGTTTTAACTTCAATGTTAATTGGTTCGTTTACAAAAAAAGACACTTTGACATCCTTTGTTCTCAATAAACATGTTCATTGGTTCATTTTTCTTCATTTCGATCCGGTTCAAATAATCTCTCTGCTCTGAGCGCTTCACAAACTTTGTTTTCTTTCGTTCATTCACGATTTTAGTGGTTGTGTTGTAATTGTCACTGAGCTGGTTACCTCACATTTTGAATTGTAAGTGATTATTTAACTTTTTTTCCACATTAAGCAATTATTTGTGAATTGGCGATGTTAGATAAAAAGGCGACAGTTAGACTGACTATTGCTAAGTAAATTCTTTGCGTGTTGTTTAAGCCAAGTGCTGTGCTCCAATGTCTGAGATGTTATTTGCTGTGAGGTTAACGTGCGTAGCTGACAGTTGTTGTTGTTGATGGCTTCAGCTAAATACTTTGCTCCTTCGTCTGTCAATTGATTTCCTCTGAGGTCTAACCAGCTCAGTTGAGATTTACTACATTTTAACAACTTACAAATTTCAAAACAACCTAATGGACCAAAGTTATTGCCGGCCAAATCTAAATGTGAAATTTGTTGAACATTCTTAATTACAGTAACTACTGAAGCACAATCAACAGGTGTGAGTTGACAAGAATTAAAATTTACCACATTAAAGTTAATTTGTTGTAGTTTTCTCTGAACTATTTCCTCCATCTCACTACTTTCGTTAATGCATTTAAATAATGTCACTGCTAAATGTTTTTTGTCTCTAGTCGGCCAACAAGTTACTTTCCTTGGCTCCATATCCTCTGTCCACTCTTCGTTGTAGAACTCGCTTTCTTTCTCTTCAGTTTCCACAGGAAGAAGGTCTGTGATGATTTCGCTCGGTAGGTTTTCTTTCTCGTTCATTAGTCCTGCTAGAAACTGAAAAACCAGCTGCCATTTGCCGTCCGCGATGTTCGTAGAAACAAAGTTCCTCAGTTCTGTTTCATTCATGTTTGCTAGGTGCCTCGCAGCGAAAAACTCTTGCATTGTTAAATGAATGAAACAGAATTTTTCCTCGCGTTCAAACGTGTCAGGCCGACGGTCGGGTAAGCGGTGAAAAAGAGCGTTGTCTTCCATTCCGCGTACTTCGTGTCCTTCAAAGACCAGCCTTCCTTCTTTAATTCCTTCAAATGCCATTTTTTCAAGTTTCGAGAATTTCTTTTCCACTTCAGGGGGTAACTTGTCTGATTCCAAGAATTTACTATCGAAATTCTTGCCGCGGAATTCTTCGTTGTGTCTGAAGTAAAAAATTTTCACTGCTTTCTTGTAAATAACTGTTAGATTCGTTGGTAGGCTAAGACTCTTGGAACCATAGAACTTCACCATTTGAAAGAGAGTTGAGCAAATGATGAAGCAACTCGCAGGAATGTAGCATAGAGAGAGAATGTTCCTGTTGCCGCCGATGTGTCGCCATATTGTTTCTCCCGCATCCTTGTCTTCTTCAGCACTGAATTTGGTTACGTATTCTTTGACTTGTTCGGACGAGAAGCCGAGGATCTCGAATATTTTGTCGAAAGAAACACGTTCGATGCATGACAAAGCCGTGGGTCTTGTGGTTGTTAAAACGGCAGCTCCGTTGAGAAGTTTCCCAGTCGCAAGTTTCTCGTACAAGGCGTATAGGGGCATCTTCTCGTCTGCGCGGTTTCTGAATTTAGGCTCGAAATTTTCGTCGCCGATTTTTGAATTATGTTTAAATTCATCGATTCCATCGAAAATAATGAGAACTCTTTGGGGGTTATCAAGGACGTATTTCCAGACTTCATCATCCATGTGATCTGAGGGGGAATGTTCTGACAATGTGAGCAGTTCCCTGAGGCTAAGGTCGGCTTTCGCGTTGAATGCTCTGAATTTGATGAAGAAAGTAGCATCAAAATGGATTTTGGAATCAGGTGATTCATGGAATACTTTGTTAAATGCCCAGTCTCTGAGGAGTTTGGTACAGCATAGTGTCTTTCCGATTCCGGGACGACCAACAATCAAAACGTTTTTGTTTTCGTGGTTAAGAATGTCCTCCGGCCCTCTTGGTGTTGTGTTTTCCCCACCCGATCTGGTGTAGACTTCCAGTTTCTCCAGTCTGTCTCCAGTAAAGTCATAATTAGCCATGTCTGGAACAACGACAAGTTTTGTGTAAATCTGATCCAGAGTCAAATGTTTAACTCGGTGTCCTTCGCCTGGAGTACTTGAAAAAGGCGACCGGAGTTGGGGAGTTTGATTGGTCTCCTCTTTAATAATTTCTTTTGTATTCTCGATGAATTCCTGAAGCGGTGGTTTTTGGAGTTGTTGAGGCTTGCTTGGCAGATGTGGGATGTTCGTTTCATGTTCTTTACTTTCCTCTTCCTGGTGCAGTTCTTGTGGGACGTTCGTTTCTTGCTCTGTTCTTTCTTCTTGCTGAGGAGGTTCAGGTCTCAACATAGTCGATGTGGTAGCATTTTGCGAATTGGCATGGAAGGGATTCAGGTGAGCCTCTAGAAACTTGGAATTTTTCATGAAACTATCCTCTTTCCACGCTCGTAGCAAAATATAGACGGTTTCTAACAGAATGCCAAAGAGAAAAATTCCGTTCACGACAAGAACAGCGCGCATCCAGGAGTTTTTCTTAGTTGCTCGTTGATTATGACACTCGTGCCAGACGCCAGTAGAATTCCTTGGCTGACTCCCTCCAGAGGTTAGATAACAAGGAAAGTTGGGGGGGAAGTCCAGAGGATAAAGTAACTGTTGAAGAACCATGAAGAGAACTCCTAAAACAATCCTTGCGAAAAGTTGACAGCAGTAAGCGATAAACAGCTTTTTACTAGAAAGTGCGTTTCCTTGGTCGCGCAACTGCCCCTCGAGATCATCGTTACGAGCGCTTGGCGACAGTTGATCGACTGTACGGCTCGCTATTTGGGAGTAAATAGCACAGACAGTTCCGATGAAGAAGAAATTCATGATCACAAAGGCATAGATAGGAACATCGCGTTTGTTATACTGCTTCTCGTATAACTCGAAACATCTTCCACGGACAAGGTCGATGTTTTCACTCTTCGCCCCGCCACAGCGGAAATCATACCTGGATTCGCTGTGTTCTGCGTCTGCAAAAATGCCAAGGAAGATTACACCGATCAGGATCCAAACAACGACTGCGGCATGGCTAACTGTGTTAAACGTTTTTGGTTTAAGTAATTCCTTGAGATTATCCATTGTTAGCGTTTGTATTCTCACTGTTTTCGATCAGATGAAAATCGCATTATGTCGTAAGTTGAAATAATGAAAGTATGGTGACTTCCGGTCAGTCATTGCTACAGATTTCACAGTTTCTCTATGGGAAGAGCTACAATTTTAATTCTTGGCAAAGTTACAGCTGTCAATTAGCCAATGGTTTGTTTTCACCTGCCATCTTTTCTCGACTACTCAGGAAGCTGATATGGGAAACGGAGAGAGGAAACTCCCTGAACATATCTTTACTTAAGTGTAGAAATGCACGCGGTGACCGAAATGGCAGATTTAACGAAATTTTGTCAAACCGAGTGGTTGTTCATGGATTTGACGATTTTGACGAATTGTAGTCAAATTCGTCAGAGCGAAATCAGCTTGGCGGATTTAACGATTTTGACGAATTTTCGCCGTTTTTGTTACTGCACGCATTTCTAGACTTTTTTTGGAAACTGAAATGGACACGTGCTAAAAGTGTCATTAATCAGAAATTATTTTGATAGAGGCTTTAAAATGACAATCACAAGTATGGCGAAGGCTTTTGCTTTC